GATCAACTATTTTGGCCGGCCAAACTGGGTACAGCTTGAAAAAAATAAACTAGCCGTTATCTAGCAGTTGGAACACACGCATTATACATAAGTTTCTTTCATTTTAAACCCAGAACTTGATGATTTGAGACCCAATATTACCTATATACATTAGAGAACATATCTTGAGAGATTTGGGGAGCTTAGAGTATTCATCATACGCTAACTATCAACAACTGGCCCAAGCTTGAGAATCTTGAAAAGCAAACTTTGGACAACTTGTTGGCTTCAATTTAAGGTATAAATTCTTCCTATTAGTGTATTGTTGAGGTACGTTTACCACCCATTGATATTTATTTTGTAAATTGCAAAGGTTGGGGTAAGACTTGGAAAACTCTTAGTGTTAGTGCCTGTTTGACTCTGATAGTTTGTGGTAGTAGGCGACCCATTGTGAGTTGTGCATTGTGAAAGAGGTTGTGGGGGAGCCTATAAACCCATCGTGAGTTAAGGACTGTGGTTTAGATTGCAGGTGATCCTAGAAACTCGTTGAATTCTGAATTGAGGAAGAGGCTGAGGGGGATATTGTAAAACCCAGTGTGGTGGGCTCTAGGTGAGCCCTTGAGTGAAAACCTAGAGGCTTGAAGTAGTGGGTTTTAGGTGAGCCCTTTGTGTGAAACCTAGAAAGAATAGTAGTCTTGTTCTTCAAGACAAAATATTAGGTAGATTAGTAGCATGTAGGTTAGCCTAGGAGAAACATTCATCAAACGCAAGTGCAATACTTGAATACGAGACAATAGGTAGATTAGTGGGTTTTAGGCTAGACTAGGAGAAACATTCTTCAAATCCTAGAGATTGTCTTTGTAAGGAGAATTTAGGTGGGTACTAGCGTGCCCATTGTAAGTCACCAGTTTTTGGATGATTCATGGATACGTCAACCAAGAAGGTAAATAAAACTTGAACCTTTGATAGATATTTTTTATCACATTGAATCACTTACTAAGTTTTAAACATACCGAATGGTTAGAAAAATTGAGATTGGTCATTGGTGAAGAAAAAACAAAAGAATTGTCCTATTCACCCCCTTCTAGGATATTTTCAAAAACACACAACGAGACATAATGACATGCCAATTCAGGTTGGTTTCCATGGAAATGGACTTCTGCATGAACCTTAAAAAAATTCAAAATTCCTAGTTTCAAGGTGGACCAATTATGATATGCATTGAGTTTTATTAAGAATTTTACTTGCCTTATTTCATGTTATGTTTGTTGTGCCAAACACCATAACATGAAATAATCTCCGATCCTCCAGTTATATCCTTCTAGAAAATCAAATCATAGTATTAGGATTGAAATAGAGCAACTTGTTTATTCTTTCCCAATTAAAGGAAAAAGCCGAATGATGCCAAGGAATCCTTTCATATCTTCTCTCGTATATGTTGTAGAATAGCTAGCAAAAATGTGTATGGATGATGGATTGAACATTAATAATATTAATTGATATGAGGTCATACAAGAACCATGGACAAATGGTGACAAGAGCATCCATATAAAAGGGCACTACTTTAGTAGCATTCAACTCCTTGGTTGATGTGTGAGACACTATTTAAAGTACCACCTCGGGTTTCCCCCCGCCCCCCTCTCAAACACAACTCAATTCACTTTATCCTACTCAACAAAGCCTTGTGCCATTTGTCTCGGGTGGGTATGAAAGTTTTACCTATCCATTCCACTCTTTCAAGGGCTATAACTTTGGTTAAACCACCAACCTACCTTTTTAGGTTATGATATTATCAAAATCAACAAATATGATGTCAATATTCTCATTAGACAGACTACATCAAACATACTTTCTTTAATCCTTCATATATAATGAATAAATATTCATTATAAAATGTGTTAATAAAATATGATGACAACCACAAATTGAGAAAGAAAATAAATAAGCTCCAACCGCAAAATTGAACAACTTGAAGATAGTTAAAAAAAAAAAGGAAAGAAATATGTTAAAGAGCAACAAGTGGTTCAACTATATACCATCACATAATAAATTAATTATCTCAATTATCCATAGACATACAATATATAGTGTCACATTAGATATTTTGATTGATATGTGCAACGACAAAATTGAGACATCCATTTCCCTAGTATTTTTACTATTATTGACATACTTCAATGATTACCAAAAGGCTACCAACATATGATATGTCAAAATCATTGGTTAATGGTTATATATATTCTGTTTGGGTGTCATATGCCATGTTCTCAAAAGGCTGATTAGCGCTCATGTCAATGTTAAATGTACATTAAAGTATAAATTATCATTAATATAACGTACAAATTGTGTTTCATTTGGGAGACATTAAATTTAAATAACTGTACTCTTAGGAAAATTATGACAAAATCACCTCCATTTGGGTTTGTGGTGGGTTTAGGGCTGGAATATGTTTTAGTGTTAGGGTTCTAAAAAGACAAAAGATAACTTCTAGGGTTTGTAGAATGAAAAAAAAAAAAAAACTAAATTTGTTGAATTTCAAAAACAACAGCTTGCTGGATTTTCAAAAAAGATTCTATTTGAGAGTAATTTAATGGCTAAAATGATGGACTTGGGGAGAGGCCATTAAGGCCCAATAAGAAGAGGAAAGGGAAGGGTTAAGGTTGATTTACGCTAGAAATAAAAAGTTAATTGTTTTAGTGTTAGGGTTCTAAAAAGACAAAAGATAACTTCTAGGGTTTGTAGAATGAAAAAAAAAAAAAAAAAAACTAAATTTGTTGAATTTCAAAAACAACAGCTTGCTGGATTTTCAAAAAAGATTCTATTTGAGAGTAATTTAATGGCTAAAATGATGGACCTGGGGAGAGGCCATTAAGGGCCAATAAGAAGAGGAAAGGGAAGGGTTAAGGTTGATTTAGGCTAGAAATAAAAAGTTAATTTCTTTCTAGGGCTTTGAACAGTAGTACGAGATCAGTGTTTATAGATGCTTTTGAATATTAGTAATTTTCTGGATCAATACCACATTGCCGTGATTTTTTGGTTTAGAAATTTTGAAAGCTATCTTGGAGTGTTGTTGATTCAGTGGCTGATTGAGAACATTTAGATGCTTTCAAAGTTAATTTTAGTCCAACTGTTACTTAAATTTTAAGGTTGGAAAGAATATAAGCAAAGGAGGAATTGGAATACCTGCTCCCATTTCTTTGTCTTATCCAACATAAAGTGAACACAAATGAAATGTTTCAAATAATTTAAATGATAGAATACAATATCATTTAATCCATATTCCGAAAATCCCAAGTAGTCCCACTTTACATCCAAATCTAAAAACCTTATGCTGGTCACATACTCGAATGCAAGAAGAGCAATAAGGATGAATGAGATGCAATGAATTATCAGATTTTGCATGCAGATAGACCTATTCTGTTACAAAAGTAAAGAAACTAATTAGGTAAATAGGTTTACTCAGGCTTGTGTCGGAGAAACATGTCTTGACTATGAGAAAAAATAAGTTTTTAGTTTGTTATTTCACAAAATTGTAATCAAATCATTTCACTTAAGTTTCCTTTAAATACAACTCTTGCCTAATGGCTCAGTTTACTTTGAAAGTAAAATCTTTTATTTGGTTTTGTACCCCATATCTTTTTCAATGAACTGAGTTTCCTATAATGAGCAGCACAAGCTATGGAAAAGAGATTCATTTTATACAAATATAGGTTCCACATCTTCATCATGGACATATTAAGTATAACGAAGGAAAGAAAACAAGCAGAGAACATATCAAAAAAGAAAAAATATAGTAAAAAAAGAGGGCAAGTAGACAGATATAACACAAGTAAACAACATCACAAACAATAAATACATGCAACAATTAATATTAGATATGCATACCAATTTTCTTCCAGTTATTAGAAAATTGTGCAGAGCGGTTACTTCAAAATGAAAATACCTGACCAAGTTTTGATAAACAACAAGAAACACCTATAAAAGATCTCTTTCCAGTACACTAATATTAGAATAACCACGACAACAATAGGAATGACAAAGACAAGATCGAGAGTTCATAATATTTACGGCAGCCTTCTATGATTATTTTGTATAGCTGGTATTTCACACATTTTCAACATTTGACTACAAACTCAATTGTTGCTTATTAAGAAAAAAATTCCAACATATGAATGATGTATCTAAGTTTTTATATCAGTACGAAGACTCTTTCCATCCCCACCGACATTAACATTGAAACCCTAGATTAAAGAAAAAGGTTTAAGTTTCAAGGATTTTCTTTTTCACCGTTATTTCTTTTTCAGATTTTGGTTTTCTGGGATAATTCAAGTTAAGATATTTGTTACATATTACATGAAATATCATTTGTACAAAATGAACAAAAACAACACAGCTAGTCCTTTGTTACATAGATTCTAAGCTTCATGTACGAGTGTCGAGTCCAAGTATGTATCTAAGCATCAATTCATCTAATTCCCAAGTCCTAGGTCATCAAGCATGGTTACATAGATTTCTAATACTATTTATAATTTCACAAGCTAAAATGGTATTTCAAGTGATATTAAGTGTTATACTTCACTCACTTTGAATAAAATATGTAACATAATTGATGTAGTAACGGAGTTTTATGTATAATTAAAGTTGAATAACTTTACATGCTTGCTAGGTGAATGTCCAACTAAAAATGTTAATTATTTAGAGAGTCTATGTAACAGTGGTCCACTAAGTACTTGCTCTTTTGATAATAGCCAAGATATATCAGGTCACTGTACCTTTTGAGAACACCTGAATTAGCAATGCCTTTGAATTTTCAAACTTAGACAGAAAGTTCCCAGAGGTGATGACCTCAAGATCATGATCTCCTGGATCTGATTTAACAGGAAAAGAAAATAAAAGAAAGAGATGATGACATCATATTAGAGTTGTATTTCCCACAACAAGAAATATATAGTACATGTTTCCAAATAAAAATCTTTGGTACAAAAGCAAATAGTCTAGAGTGGAACAACTCAACTAACCAAAGGAAGCAGACTCCAGCAATGGAAGGTCAATTTTAGAAAAAATTGTCCCAGCCTGTCGCTCCTTGATACTATCAAGAACATGCTACAGTCAACAAATCAATGTCGTGCATCAAAGATTATTAGTAAAGTCTACTAAGCAAAGAAAAATAGTAAAGGTTCAAACAAGCACCATAGGCTTCATATTGATAGGTTGATAGTTAAAAACTCACAATGTGCTCGTCAATACCGAATATGTCGTAATTCCTCTTCCATAAAGGATTTGTCAGCAGCTCAAAAGCATATCGAATCTGGAAATCAGACCACATAACTTAAATATTTACAATATTGGAAGTGCTCAAGTTAACTCGAGTAGGATTTGATATTGGTGCCAACAAAACCACATAATTTCTAGACAAACCAAACCAAACCAAACCAAACCAAACCAATCCAATCAAGTGGTGTTGGCAACATGAATTCTTTTTCGTCATTCTACTTTATCAAGGACTATATGCTCAATTAAATTAAATTAAATAAATACATATCATTTTTTAACATAGCATCCCATATCAATTTAGGTTTGGGGTTCTCCCTAACATTTCTATTTATGCTGATCATATCACTATCTGTTACTATTGCATCTAGACCCTTCATTGTACATGATCAAACCATCTTAGTATATTCTCTTTCAACTCATCTTAAATCACTGTTACTCCGGGAATATATTCAATTTCTAATTGTGTATTTCCTAGTCTTCCCACACGTTCTTCTAAGTATATCTCTATCTCTGCTGCACTCATTTTATAAATGAGAATAAATTCCTTACAACTTAGTCGTAATGGATGGACTTTATGGGTAGCCATTCAATAGTTGACATGTCAGACCCATTTTGTTTTTTACTTATTTTCAATTTCTCCTCTGGTTTTTGTCTTCTCTCTCCCAGATTTCTCACTCAGTTCTTCTTCTTTCAAAACATCTTATTGATAATATGATCAACATACACACATAAAAATTTGACTAATAATCTACAATGTTCAGACTGTATTATTTATCTGATGCAACTAATGAAGGGGGCATACAATCTTAAGAATACTTTATGAGCAAGAATATATAGAAGCTATGATATCATGGAGATCAAAATTACAAAGGATTGCAAAAAAAATAAAAATAAAAATAAAAAAATAAATTTTTCGCAGTTGATGATGATGCAAATCCCCATCCTTCCATGAGTTTGTAATTGCAGAATCTTGTAGATCCTCTCATCAATTCCATCTACCATAAAATAATACAATAATTTCAAAACAAAACCCAAAATCTTGTAGAGCTTATCATAAATTCCATTTTCCATGAAATAATTACAATAATTTCAAGACAAAACCCAAAACCAAATCAGTTTTTCTAGATCGGAACTCAGGATCTCCGTTTCTGGCTTGAACATGCATGGCTTTTCATTCTTCCAGTCACCAGATCTGACTTCCATACAACCTTAATCGACAGCTTCTTCATCAGTACATCACTACCAATAATCATGATTCTTCGTTTTGATTGCTTGGTTTGTACCATTGTATAGAGAGGGAATGAAGAAAAAGCATCGAGAGAAAGAACGAGAGAGAAGAGAAAACCAGAGTGGTGGACATCTGTTCAATGGCCAACATAGCATCTGTTGAGTGGCCGCCTGTAAACTAGGTGGTTTACGGCTAAGCCGTGTAGAATTCATTCTCTTTAAAAATATGTTGTTTTAGTTGCCCAACATTCTATCTTGTAAAGTATCACTAAGCTCATAGTTCTATGAAATTTCCATTTCAATTTTGTTAATATTCATCGATCGCATAATATGTCAGTAGCACTTCTGTACTTGAGCCAACCTACTTTTATTTTATGGATGACATTATCTCTAACCTCTCCATCCTAATTAATAATCAAACCTACGTTAAAAAAATGTCCACTCTTTGTAATTTGCTAATTTTTAATTTTCACTTCATTATTTCTTCTACTATCAATACTAAAGTTACATTCCAAATATTCATTTTTAGCTCTACTAATTTAAACCCTTTTCACTTGAGTGTTTCTTTCCAAGGTTCTATTCTAGTGTTAATTTCTTCCTTAATTTCATCCACTAGAACAAATATCATCCACGAACAACATACATAATGGGAAATCATACTAAATGTATACAAGGCATCATGCTAACTAAATATATATAGTTAATTCATCCATAACAAAGGCAAATAGATAAGAGCTCAAAGTTGACCCTTGATGTAATCCTCCAGTAATTGGAAATTCACTAATTTCCCCTACATGTAATTATAGTCACAAGCTCATCATATATGTCCATTATCGCATCAATAAATTCCTTGGTCACACCCTTTTTCTCTAACACCCACTATATCACATCATTAGGCACCCTATCGTAAGATTTTCTTAATATATAAATATCATATGAACAGAGATGATTTCCACGTTGAGTAACTCTTTTGAACTGGGCATGGTGTCATATCTGTGTTTTGTGACAGAAAGTAGACATAATTAAGACTTCATAAAGCATTAGATTTATAGATCAAACACCATTATAATAAAAAATAAATAAATAAAACCTTATATTTCAGTAAACAAAATTTTCAAATATTTTAAAGAAGCAAGCAAAAAAAAATTTAAATGTAGAATTTGATCAAATTTTCAAAATGACTCATAAACAAGCCGCAAATTGTATAAGTAAGAGAACTTTTATAATTTGACTGATTAAGCATTGGGATATCTTGTCATAACAGATTCCAGTAGTAACAAAGGGGAAATTTTTTCTTAATTTCAAGAAGCAATATCAAGTGCAATGCAAAGCATCTGTACAAATTATCACATGGCTCAACTCAATAAAATATATATTTTTTTTGATAAATAATAACTTTACTAAGAAAGCATCAAGAAAATGCAATAAAACCAAGACAACAAAAGGAAGAAAACAAAACTCGCCTAACCAATTACATCATCCAAGAAATTTAAGAAAGAAAATATATCCGGATCCACTTTACATTCCAACCAACTATACAAAGTAACCAAGAAACGATCCTCCAACCACGACACCGAACGCTGAAGGCCTTGAAAGATTCTCCTATTTCGTTTCAACCAGACCAACCACATTAAACATAAAGGCACCAACGACCACACCCGTCGCCAAGATCTCCCAACTCGGGCCCCCCTCCAACTCCAAAACATGTCGACAACCCCCTTTGGCTGCACGCAAGTAATCCCAAAAAGAGAATAGACCAGCCCCTATAGTCGAGAAGGAAGAGAACAATGAAGAAACAAGTGATCAACGGTCTCCGCGTCTACACTGCACATACAACACCGATTCACGAACACATGCCCTCGATGAACCAGATTATCAATAGTAAGAGTGCGGCCCAAAGCAGCCGTCCATAAAAAGAACACCACCTTAGAAACACACCTCCCACCTCCCCCACCAAATAGCGATAAAAGGACCGAACAAAGAATTGACCTTTAGCACCCATCACATCCCAAACCAACCCATTTTCTCCTCTACGTAACAACCCAACCCATGCAGAAAAGCGAATAACTCTCCCAATTGATTGACTTCCCAATCTTGAACCTCACGCCGAAGCTAGATATCCCAAACCGCCACCTCCACTGTCCCTAAATAAGAAGCAATCGTGGCCTATCGATCCCTGGCAATGCTAAAAATTAAAGGGAAACGCACCGCCAAAGCCAACGATCCACACCATTTATTGAGCCAGAATCTAACCTTCTCCACAGTACCCACACGAAAACTCCCTCTCTCCCAAAACTCCCCCTTTCCCAAGCAAATTCCTTTCCACAAACCCCGCCCATGAGATCCCCTCACTACCCCGGACTGCCAATCCCCTACATCAACTCCAAACTTAGAAGCCACCACCCTTCGCCATAAACAACCTCGCTCTGTAGCAAACCGCCACAACCACTTCCCTAACAGCCATATTAAACTCCACCAAACTCCGCACTCCTAAACCACCCACCTCCTTCGGCTGACAAATCCGCCCCCAATCCACCAAGTGATATTTAAAATCCTCTCCACCACCCCCCACAAAAAATCCCTCTGAAGTTTCTCCAACTGAGCAGCCACAGAAATGGGAATAACATGCAAAGACATAAAGTAAGTCGGAATACTACTCAACACACTTTTGATAAGCATCAACCTACCGCCCTTCGACAAATATTGCCGCAGATAAAATGAGTGTTGTTGAACAGGGGCATGGGGTTCGACGAGCTATCGCCTTGTTTAGTGCAGAGATAAAATGGGTTGCGGCTCAAATGCGGAAGGCATCCACGACGAACTATGGTGGGGTGTTTTTAGGTCGGGATTTTGGGGGCCGACGTAGTGTGGCGTGTTGGTTGCTTCCTGAGGAGATGGGGCCTGCAGTCCACATTGTGGTTCAAATAGGCGACCGTCGTAATCAAATTTTTCTTCCCCAATCATTGTTTGGGGATGGGTGGGAGGGTGCTGCTCTCTTTTAGATGCGTTTTCGGTAGGGAATGGTTGGGTCACTACAGGACAGGAAAGAAACCTGCCGAAGAACCATTCACTAAAACAGACATCTACGACAAATATTGCCGCAGATAATATTTAACTCAATAAAATATTATGCTTCCATGGATCTTATTTCATGAATATGTCATCTGGGACAGGGCCCAAAGTTAAATCAAAATAAACTAACATGTTTTTTCCAGTCCTTTTAGGTCCTTTCTTTGTATTCCCTTCATTAGGCAACACCTTCAAGACATTGCTCTCTCTCGTTGGCACAATTATTGGCCTTTGTTTCACATGATTAGCCGATCTAAGTCTGTCATCCTGTACCAATTGATCCTACCACTACCATCCAGTTCTATACCTCTGCTGTATTACCAGTCATCCATCTTGGAAAATTTATTCCAATAATGTCATCGTGAAAAAATTTGGTTTCTCGGCTTCCAATAAATAATGTGGTCAAATTGGAGAATCATAACAACAGAAGAACATATATACAATACAACGATATTTCACACATGACATAAAAATATATAACAATATTATAGGATGTTCAAAACCCACCCCCCACGCGAGACATACACACATATGCATACATAAACATACACATGAAACTGATTTTGTAAATCGCCTTGAGAGCAAATGGAGACTTACAAACTTTGATAAACTCAGTTATAGGAGGAACTTCTGTGCCCGAATTTCTGAATCAATGCATTTGTTAGTTTAATATAAAAATATTTGGTATAACACCAATTAGAGAAAAAAAAAACCATATATACAGTTAGCTACATATTTTATTAACGTCTTCTAGAAAAGATCAGCATCAACTAAGCAAGAAAAGTTACTGTGGTGAATTCACAACAATGCCTAATTGTGCCAACTAATATAATGACACAAAGTGATATAAACACACTCATATTGTAGCAGAAAAATAAATTAAAAACAAACAAACAAAGTAGAACCTTCAGTATATGACAATTATTAAGCAAATTAGTCTGTTTTCTATACTGTTAGTGAATCAGTGATCATAGACATCCATTATTAAACTAATGCTTCAACTTTTAAAGTGCACAACTTTAACCATCATCAAACTTCAGAACCTGCAAAAAACGAAATTGATGCTTACAAGATTTAACTTCTAAATATTTCCACAAGTCAATTCTCCTTCTGAGTGAGAGAAATATAACCAGTTCAAAGCTTAAATATAGTTATCCACCCAAAAGAAAGGCTTAAATATAGTGGTCATTATTGTTAAGGGTTGAGAAATCATTATCGTTAAGAGTTGACAAATATGACTGGTCACAAAAGTAGTTAAAAGGAAGTGGAAATGATGTAGCTCTTATTCACGAAGACAAGAATGCTATGCTCAATTTTAGCAAGTTGAGTAGCTGTAGGGCTGAGGAAAGTATGTGAAGCAGAACTTTATAATTCAGTAGTTGAATTTAGGGGACCAGAATAGTGTTTTTTACTTTAAAGCTATAAATCAGAGAAGAGCTATCCATAGAAATGTGGGAATAACAAAGTAGGTTGGTTCCGTCATACTGATCCAAATGAAACAAAGACATTGTCTCATTTTTTGATAAACTTTTAGGTGGCATAAAAAACTATATCAAGAAGCAACTTACTGAATGTCAAAAATGTGAGTTTCTCAGGTATGTTGCTCCTGGAGAGATGAAGCACTATGTTCTCACTGAAAGATGGAAAAACTCTAACAGCTGATAGATACAATGCTATGTTCTGTAAAAAAGCTTGGTCCATTATAGGTGATGATGTGATTGCTTGGATATCTTTTTTCTTCAGTTCTTGTGCTTGCTAAGAAAAGTTCAATCTATAGTGATTAATTGGATCGGCAAGCTGCCTAATCCTTCAAATCTAAGTGATAGACCTATCTCTTATTGTAATATCATTTATAAGTGCACTGCTAAAATTGTAGCAGATATACTTAAAATGGTTCTTCCTTCAATTGTGTCACATTGTCAAACTGCCTATTATGGAGGATGGAGAGGGTTGCTGATAATGTGTTGATTTCTAAGGAAATATCATCGCAGTGCTAATGGCAAGAAATTTGCTTTGAAGGTGGACTTAAGAAAAGCCTATGATTCAGTAAGTTGGCATTCCAAGCTCCAGACACTTGATGGGACTGGGTTTCCTGAAAAGTTTATTAGTTGGGTCAAGGCATGTGTTACTTCTCCCAGCTTTTTAATTAATAACAATGATAATGAACTGAATGAATATTTCCCAAGGGCCAAAGGCCTTAAACAAGGGTACCCATGTCACCCCACTTGTTTGTTTAGGCTATAGAAATTCTGACAGGTATCCTGAGAAAGAAGATAACAGTGCGTGACTTCAAGTACTCAAGGTATGCAAAGGAAAGGATTACTCATTTGACTTTCACTTATTCATGCTCTTTTGCAAGGATGATGTGAGTTTTATTACTCTATTTAAAGAGGCTTTGACTGTTTTCCAGAGTTTGTCTGGTTTAACTCTGAATCCTGCTAAGAGTGATGAGTCTTCTAATATGGCGTTTCTAGCTTAATTTCTTCCAAGTTCATGGTAGAGTATTGTAGACGTCTTGTTGAATTATAGCCAGAGTTAAGTCCTGGACTAATGTATAATCTTGTGCTGGCAGATTTCAATTGATCAAAACCTATGTACATAGACTCGGGCACGGGTGTTGAGTGTGGATATGTGTTAAGTGTCAAATTCATATAATTCTCATGTCAAGGACACCTAGACACGGCTATATTTCATATATGTTATTTTTTAAGGATAAAGTGACATTTAAAAACTAAAATATAGTATTAATATAGAAAATAGAAATCTTATGCATATTACTATAATAAACTCAACAACTTATACATACTTTTTGGGTGCATCTCCAACTAGGCATATCGGACATATCCCATACCCTTACACAAGTGTTAACTGTCCAACACATATGCTTCATAAATTTAGAAGAGCCCATATAATATTGATCAAGGCAGTGTTATTCTCTATTCAAATATACTAGTCCTCTATGTTACATGGACTCTTCAAAATAAATCAAATACCCGTGTCGGACAAGGGTATGGAATATATGTTTGATACTTTTCAATGGATACTTCTTATATAATTGTATATAACACTATTATTATATGTACATATTGTTGTATAAAAAATGTCTTTTTGACACAGTAAGTTACATATAGCACCATTTTATCTTACACACTTGATTAAAAATATAAAAATATGACCTTTTTTTGCCGAGTCCACGTACCCTAAAATTTATGATTTGATGAATCCGACTTCCAGATACATACCCACACCTAACACTCGTACCCAAGTCCATGCAACATAGAGTCCAGTATGTTTACTCTCCAAAAGAAACTTCACTTCCATAGTAAAAGTTTTGCGAGCCTTTCTATGGAAATCTATGGAAAGGAGTGGATCTCACCTCTACCATAGCCAAGGTTGCTGAAGATTCAAAGGAGGACAAACATGAAGAACGAAATAAAGCTCAGTTTATAGCGACCCCGGTCTTTTCCCAATTGATTATTGTATCCGGACTTAGGTTCCATTTATTCTGTCATTGTATGATTGTTGTTGTTGTTCTTTATTTTCTCATTTGGAGTTACAGGTTGCAATGGGCAGGTTTGAAGTAGGTTGGTTGAGCTTGGGAGCAAAGGGTTGCTGCCCAGAATTTTGACCCTTCGCTCGAGCGAGCAGTTCTTCGCTCGAGCGAGCTCTTTGTTTTGGTCCGTCGCTCGAGCCAGGGTTTCTTAGCTCGAGCGAGGATAGCATTTTGTAGTAAGACTTGATAGCAGTGGTTTCTAGCTCGAGCGAGCTAGTTTGTTCTTCGCTCGAGCGAGAGTTCCTTCGCTCGAGCGTGTGTCTGGTTACAGACCTGAGGGTTTGAGTTCTTCGATCGAGTGAGATTTCCTTCGCTCGAGCGAGCTTCTGAGTTGTTGGCTCGAGCAAGGCTTTCTTGGCTTGAGCGTAGCTTTTCTGTGTCTGGTCGCTCGAGCGACCAAGTTTTCGCTCGAGCGAGCCTGTCCAGTTTATATACGCAGCAACGGGTTTTGATCAGTCTTTTTCATCTTCTTTTTGGATTCCAAACCCTAGGTCCGACTTCTCTCTCCCTCTACACACCTTCTCTCTTAGGATTGATCTATTTAGAGTGTGTTTCTACCCTAATTCCTTTATTAAAAAGATAGAGTGAGTCGAGGGCTCCGTTTTAATCTGAACTTTTCGCGATTTGGAGCACTTTGGATTTTGGGTGGTCATCTCCATCTTCTCTATTTAAGTTGTTTTCTTCGAGGTAGGGATTCCCTACTCCATCTTATAAGTTTTGTTCTAAGTTTTAGTATATTGATATGTTGGGGTTACTTTGATAATTTTGGGAAAACTCTAGTTGTATTAATTAATTAATTTGTATAATTAATTTAAGGGAATTGGGAAATTTGGTTAAATTCATGAAATTGGGGAATTTAATGATTAAATGGTGTAGTTGGATAGTTTAAATCACTCGCCTATTGAATTGTTGATATATTTATTTCAAAGTCTAGAAATAACTGTTTTGGGCTATCGGGGGAGGATAGTCGTGATTGTTGTAGACACTGCATGTGGATTAGGGATAACTGAAACTAATCATTGATTAAGTTATCAATTTTGACTGTTGAATTAATACAGACATTTTGTGTATTGATTGTGTGTTGTATAAATGTTATGTGTTTACATACATTGTTTGTGTGGGAGGAGATAGGGGATGTACTCCACGGTTTAGGGGAAGATAGGGGATGGACCTCTAAACCGGATTTTGTTTGGGAGGAGATAGGGGATGGACTCCATTAGCATCACTTTTATGTGTGCTTATTTATATTGAAGTGTTTTGATTTGAGCTTGAGTCTCATTTGTTTGTTGACATTGGAAGAATGTGAATATGATATATAGTTCACTGTTGTAAGTTTGGCCAGGTTCTGAGCCATATTGATAATGTTGGAAAGTAAAACATGTCTTAGGCAGTAGTGTCATGAGATTGTTTAATGATGTAATTGATTATCTTGGTTAACCATCTATTAAATGCTATTGCTTTATTCAATGCTTATATTTGGTTTAGTATATCTCTACTGGGCTGTGGCTCACCCTATATGGGAACATCATTTTCAGGTTCAGGTGATAAACTACCTCCAAGGAATTAGCTTGGGAGGGTTTATTTTAAACATTTCATACCTCATAATAGATACACATTTTAGTACACTTAGAGTTAGCAGCTGTGATATTTTGCCTTGAGATTTGGAGGCATTATTTTATTGGTGAAAGATTTGAGGTATTCTCGATCATAAAGAGTCTGAAATATTTGTTCTACGACAGAAAGACTTTGAATTTGAGGCAGAGGAGGTGGATAGAGTTCAAAGAGGATTATGACTTTGAGTTGCATTATCATCCGGGAAAGGCCAATGTGGTGGCCGATGCCCTTAGCAGGAACCTGTTGGTACATAGCTAGTATAGCCATCCGAGAATGGAGATGTTTGGGTGCACTTGGGGAGTTTAATTTACTTCTAGGCGAATCCCGTTGAGACTGCGGCGTTTTTTTCTGTTGTTGTACAGCCTACACTCGTGGAACTCGATGTTAGAGGGCTCAGAGGGGTGACCATGGAGTAGAAACCCTCGGTGAGAAATTTCCGGTGGGAAGGTTGAGAAGGGTTTGACGGTGTATCCCGATCCTGAGTGTGCGTCAGACCGTCTGTTTGTGCCGGATGTCTTGCCGAGAGGAAGGTACTCGAGAGTTTCATCATCAGCACTTGCGGTCCATCTG